GCTACAAAACTGCCATCTCGGATTTTCAAAATTTTGGGTTTTCGACCCAAAAAACTTCAAAAAAATGATTTTTTTAGTAAAACTGAAAAAAATCCAAAATTTTTCCGAATTTCGAAAAAACCGGAATATTTGTGATACTCCCTGCGCTCTTCTATATACATACCAAATATCAGATCGATATCTCGTTTTTTGGCCAAGTTTTAGCGAAAAAAAAAAAAACTGTTCAAAAATGATGACGTCAAATTGTTGAACTCAATTTTTAGCGATTCTAGACCACGTACGGCAAAAGAAAGACCACCATTGAACTCCCCGTGACGAGCTGCATCGATTTAATACCCATTTTATGCAAAATATTAACTTTGAAATTTGACCTAATTTGACCTGACCTTGACCTGACCTTGACCTGACCTTGACCAAAACGTGACCTAAGCTGGCCCCAAAGGCTGCCTGACCCACATAATCGCATTTGTCATGTAAAATAGGCCATAAAACATGTATCACACGACACTTTCATATTGTGACCCCCCAGTGACCTGACCTCTGTGACCTGACCTGGTATCAGTGACCTCAAATAGCAAAATATGTGTTTGAAGAACATTTCCCCGTCGATGATTTTCAATGAAATGCATTTTACTCGATTTTACAACGCATTTCTTGAAATGTCTGTAAACGGTGAAAATTGGACCTTTGACCTGACCTGTGACGTCACCGGTTTGACCTGGGTCAATAAAATTGGGTCACAAGGTAGTTCCCTGATAGGGCTATCCAACACCGTTTGCCGCTTGTCGCTAGGTTGCGTGGTTCTCGAGATCTTAGGGGGGGGGGCCAAAATGCCCCCCCAACGGGGCGCGTCAGCAGAGCCCAACGGGGCGCGGGTTAATCTTATCATTTAACAATAAAAGATGAATATTATGTTTGGCAATTTTTCCCAACAACAGTGAGCCACTTGAAGAAAAAAATTACAAAAGAGGTCAGTTGAAGAGCTATTATTGCAACATACTGTCTTATGAGAATGTCACATTCAAATAGCGTTAAAAAATATATGAAATGCTTCGTTTTTAATTTGGTTGTGTTTTTCTCTACAGCTTTTTTTCTCTTGGTTGTGCTCACTGCATGTTTCAACACGAGGGATTCCAGCAATTCTACCTGAATTTCTAGAATCTCGTGATAACCACGATCATGAAACAGCACCGTTTCTTCTTTCTAGATTCCGCGAATCGACAAAACTTCGTTGCGTCGTCAACCAGCCAGAAGAAGTCTAGACATGTCACACTGCTTTGAGCACGGTGATATGTTCCGCTCTACTTTGTAGGATCGGGAGCTTAGGACGAGCTGCAGCCTGCATCAAGCGGAAACCCACAGTCATAGTCACACTTGCATGCAAGTCTTTTTCGGCGCATTATCCCTCTCAATACATACGACGAAAAAGGTCTCATTGTTGTAGGTATGTGAATCGGTGTCGACTTTATGTGTCTGAGAAAACAGGCTCGGCCATTTGTGCATCCGTCAGTGGTCCCTGCAGAGTCTTGCCATGGGCTGAGGTCATTTTGTCACGTGATTGGGTTCACAGGTCAGTTGTATTTCTTGGTGGATCCCCATGGGATACGCTACTGGCAGGCGTTACAATTACAACTTAGGGACAGCTAGAGTCGAGAAAGGGAATTGGCCACATTTGTTCCACGTGACACGACTGAACTTCGAGTCGGTCACGCTTAGCGGAACTGTCGGAGGAACACTCCGACCAAGCTCAGCCATCGGCATTGAGCTATTGCCACTTACAAAAGCAATTCTATCGTACATGGACAAACAGTATGTAGTTCTTGTTTATTCATAGCATTATCAAAACCTTGCATGCTACTTCATTGGAGCCGGCTGACTTCAGCATGCAAAAGTCCCTATTTTAAATATTTAACGCAATGATAGTTATATGTATATATGAATGACCATATGTATTGAGCAAATAAAAGATGTAAGCCGATAACTTTGAGGGTTGGATTGCTCCAAATCGCTTTGCTTTCACTGGCTGGAACTGACAGCATTATAGGTCCCCGTGGCGCCTTAAAGTTCTTATCGCCAAAAGACCCTGTTGCTGGAAAATTGGTCGCACCGTATCTAAATGGCTGGGGACGCCTTGGAAACAACGCGCACAAAACTGCTGGGAATTGTCAGAGATTTGAGCCATGCCATGCTCCTTGTATTTACATGGCCTCTTTGAATAAGAAACCCACCATCACATACCTACATATGTGCCCCTATAACTAATACAAAATTTATTAATGCTTTATAACGTATTCTTTAATTCATTATCATCTGGCATTTTAATTTTTATGGCAGTGTTGCCTATGCTTGACTAAATGTGTGTTTGGCTCGACTAGCCGCAACAGCGGCGGTCGGGCCAACGACCTTTCTCTGTATGCGAGCAAGCGCTATCCAGTGCTATATACGCAGCTGGGTGCGGCGCGAGTCAGTGTACGCGCGTCGACGAGCGCACGCGAGTGTTTTTGTTTTGCGGGGCGCACACACGTCTTGTACCGTTCTCCTGGCCTTCCGGTGAGTGGCCAATTGGCTCGGACTACGCCTAGCAGCAGAAATGACAGGCGTCTGTCTGTCGATACGCTCATGGCTCTCGTGTTGCGCCTGGAGGGTCGACGCGAATCCCCGGCTAATTTATTGCGCATTATTATAGCAGCTGCATGCGGGGTTCGGTCCTCGGCACCTAACTAGGTTATTTATTTACGCAATGCCCCTATGTTGGTCATCACGTCTTTTTCCGCTGCGCTGATTTTCAGGCATTCCGTGGTCCTTTTGCTAAGTTCTGACACGATGCTGGTGCTCCCGTTGTATTTGATTGTTATTATTATCAGCGCACGCGGATTATCAAGTACACCTCGTCTGCATGCGGCGCCCAGCTTCCCCGATGTGGCTAGTTCGGCCGCTGTGTTGTTTTCGGTGAATCCCTTTATAAGAAAAGATGACATCGACATGTCAACTGACTTATAAGCAGCGCAGTCGTATTGCCAATCTCAGCAGACTGATAACGAATGATTCTGTATGTCGGTTGAGGCAGTTGGCTATGCACGTGATTTATGAGAGTTCTATGAAGAGCTTCAAAATATTCTAAGAACGCAAAACTCGTGATTTTACGAGTAATATTTGCTGATATGCTAATCATCTCGATATATTTTAATCCATATATGCTTCGATTTTAATAAAATTGGCAACGTTGGACCATCCATATCAATTTATACTTGTACATCATAAAGTATGAGGATGACTTCAAATTTATTACCACTATTCTATGTTTGCTTTTTGACGACCTACGTTACCGAGGCTGTGCTGGATATATTCAGTCAAGACGTCAAGGCCGAATGTGATAAAGCACGACTGGGCTTGCTTTCGTCTACGGACCGGATCATGAAAAATTGGAAAGTCGGAGATGGGAAGGTTAAGAAAATGGTATTTGAAGGAGACATGATAGTAACAGCCGAGCAAAAGGCAAGGTACACCCAGACAGGTTACATCGCTGATAACACAATGGAGCTTCTTGAAACCAAATGGGCGAGTAACACGGTGACATACGAATTTGGTACGCCGGCGCCAACAGATAAGAGCATGATTACTGACGCAATGAAAGCATGGTCAGATAAGACGTGCATCAAGTTTAGCGAAGGAACGAGCAGCGCGATTAAAATTATAAAAGGTGACGGCTGCTATGCTACACTTGGCTTCCAGGCATCTGATATGCAAATGTCTGTAGCCGATATTTGTGACAAAGGCGTCGTGGTTCATTTGCTTGGCCATGTCATTGGTCTGGTGCACCAGCACTCTCGACCAGACAGAAATCTTTTCTTGAACATCCAATATCATAACACGGCTATAGAAGATGTTCTGTTTCTTAATTTCAAAGGATACGATTTATGCAAGTACGACTACCTTTCAGCGATGCAGTATGATATGTATGGACTTAGCTACAATGGTGAATCAGTATTTCTCGGCAGACCACAAGATCAGCGAAATGACGGAATAATGTTTTCCTCCGCCATCGGTAGAGATTGGACTAAGCCTTCTGACAGTGACGCTGCCCTTGTCAACAAAGAATACGGATGTGCAGAAAAGAGCTGCGGCGATCAAGACACCGATGCTATAAAACAGCCTCCTTGCAATCAAGCAGCAGTTGCAACGCAACAATCTTTTGAGAAGAATGTAGTGTTCAGCAGCATTATCAAGGATGAGGGAAGAGTCATTCAATGCATTTGGAAGATGGAGGTCCCTGAAACCCTCACCTGCTCCCGTGCCGCTTTAGCAGTCACTCTTTCAGCAAACCCCAGCCTGGATTTGAAGCGTGCTTGGTTCGCCAGTGGCTGCAGGCTGTTCCAGGTTGAGATTTTCGACCCAGTCGCGGATATGAGCTACTTTTATTGCGCGGCTCAATTCGCTCGCAAGCCCAGCAAGGTATTCGTGGGTACGTCGCGGCTGATTTACGCCATTGCTAAGATGTACCCGGCTAAGTGGAATGGTGTGACCGAAAGTGCTCTGGCTTCGGGTGCGGTGAAGTTCTTCAACATTAAAGATTTCGTCTGCGCTGGAGAAATTAATGGTAAATGCTACTAACTGGCTAAATGCGAACAAAAGTGAAACGACTTACCACTGCAGCGATTCGGTCCATTTTACGTTCAAGTAGTCTAAATAAACGCGATATGTAGAACTGCAAGATTGACTATGAACGTTGAAAAGCAAATTCGTTGTGGTTTGCGATTTGCGCATACATTACTCTTAGCAAATGGTAAGATAGTGTGTCGTGTAATGCACTTTGTTAGTCTCCTGTAATCTCTTTCCAAATAAAACTGTGAGATTGTTTACGCATAGGCATTAGATACTTCACGGTCGGAACTGTGTAAAAGAGTCATGTTCAACTTGCCCTGTTACAGCAAGCGTGAATTTGTGTGCTATAAACATTTTAGACGCCCAAAGCTTAACACTTATGTCCATTGCCAGCTTACCTGATACTCCATCAGTGTACGTCCACCAATTTTCCCACACTCCAGCTGAAAGGAATACGACGGTTAGTGTGAGTGAAGTTCACACAGCATTTGGTACGGATCATGTAACCCATACAAGCATGGTTTGACCGGAAAGGCGTGTCACTTGGTCTACTTGATGTCGGTTTTGTACCTACTTCCTTTCACTTTTGACATTTTGCCAATACATACATGCGTTGTGTGTCAATGTAGAAGTTGGCAGTTATAAACGATTTTAACAAATGTATTTGACAATTACCATTAGCATATAATTTCAAGCATATTTTTATAGTTTGCTGATCTAGAAATTTATCAATTTATTTGTTATATTTTACCCTGAAAAATGTTTTCGTTTTCTACCCCTTCAATAGGAGCTGAAGCATAAGAAGCGTGAGATGCAAGCCAAAGCGGTAAACAAACGACAAAAGAAACCCATAGGCATTTGTTACGGAGCGAGCGAAGCGAGCGGAGTCTTTCCTTAGATTAACGGAAATTTCTGAGTATGAGCGGCCGGCCGGCCGGCCGGCCGGCCGGCCGGCCGGCCGTGCGGACGCTTTTGCGAGGCTTATATCTCAGCAACCACTTGACCGATTTACACGGGGTAATTTTTGTAGGGTAGCTTCATTCCTTCTACCAAGTATTGAACTATTCCCGATGCATGTGGGTGACCCCTTATGCACGTGCCACGTGCAAAACGAAGACGTGTCAGTTTTGTAATTGTTGCAATATCTCGGTAACTACTGGGCCGATTATGCTGAAAGTTGGCATGTAGGTAGGCACCCACTAGGCACTGCATATCCATGTGCCAGAGTTGGGGTGCTGCTGCACGTGCGCACGTGCAGGGGTCGTTTCCAGATCTCGAGAACGGCTGGACCGATGGCGCTCAAATTTGGTACACGGTTAGGGACCAGTTAGTGGGGTGCCGTGCACAAGTCAGTTGGGACCCATTTTGCACGTGCGCACGTGCAGGGTGCCGCTTCCAGATCTCGAGAACGGCTGGGCCGATTGTGCTCAAATTTGGCACATCGCTAGAGACCGGTTAGTAGGGTGCCGTGCACAAGTCAGTTGGAGGTACCCCCTCGAAATTTCGCACGTGCAAGGCCCACCCTCTCGCTCGCTCCGTTAGTCGCCCCATAAGGCGTTATACTGGTTACAATATTCTGATAACACCACCCGTACACCCTGATCTTTTACCTCAGCCGTTCTCGATTATCTGACGCTCTTACCAGCCGGGTGGAGCAGAATGCAGAGCAGCACGCCGCACACCAGCATGACGTCGTGTCGGTGGGTCCGTCGTCCGTCCGTCTGTCGTCGCCAGCGTCACTCGCCGCTGCCGAGCCGGGCCGTCGGCTGCGACGCTGTCCCGTCGCCGTCGACGAGCCGGGCGTCCCAGCCAGAGAGGGCCGCTGGCTACCGTCTCGGCGGCGCGGCCCGGCCCGGCCCGGGCCACCCGAATCTGCGGTATTGATCGTGCCGAGAAGGGCCAGCGGGCCGCGCTGCCGAAATTCAGTGGCCCGCCCGGCCCGGCCCGCGGGCTCTGCAGCGCCGCCTCCCCAGACAAAGACGACACAGTCAGAGTTGGACGAGAGGAAGGCCCGACTGAAAGCTCGATAAACCAAGACAATTACATTATTTCAGATGTGATTTGTCGTACGTCTTTAAACATATTATCACATTTGCTGCTGTTGAGTCGTTTGTGCATCAAATGAAGGGATAAACTGATAAAGCATTCTGCATGTTCACACAAACAGGATAAATACATAAACCAAGCATAAACAGCATAAATCAATGTTGCATAAAAACGTCGACACATCTTATCGTGCTAGTTGTATTGCATAAGTGCTTATGAGCTAAATGTACAACACTTAGCATGCATTCGAAACTCTAGCGATCATGAGTAAAATTCGAAAACCGGAGGCATAATGAACATTCCAAGTAAGATGCACCTCCGAATAAAGTGAATAAAGTATGTTTGAAAATCTTTTTGGCTTTGGACAATTTTGATGAAGTCGCCAACACGCTTTAAATTGCATCTGAAAAAATGACATTCGGTTAAAAAATGTCACAACTTAGCAATGCTATCAATACCAGCGAATATTTCGAAGGAAGATGAAGCTTTCAGAAAGGAGCAAGCTCTCCAGTGCGAACAATTTTCATGCCTCAGATTTAAGAAAGGTCACATGAGGTCAGACCAGACGCATAACTCAACAGGGGAAATGCGGAAATCGTTTATATAGTTATGTAGGTCCGAATTTGATCCAGTCCTTTCCCAGCATTGGAAAGTTTGATGCACCAGCCTGCTTTGCACGATTAAATACTTTTTTGTCACTTTGCTGACATAATCAACTTCATCTGACATTGCCAGAGTTTTCATTATAAATTATCGGCCTTATTGGGTTAACAAGTCGGAAGGATAGCAGTGAACTCAGAATGAGCTGCTAATGATATGCAATGCATGCGACCAGGGCTGCGGAGTCGGAGTCGGAGTCGGAGTCGGAGTCGGTCGGAGTCGACAGTTGTGACCGGAGTCGGAGTCGGAGTCGGAGTCGATTTTAGAAACCCGAGCCGGAGTCGGAGTCGGAGTCACCGAAAATCTGTCGACTCCGCAGCCCTGCTAGGTCTGCGGAGTCGGAGTCGGGAGTTGGAGTCGGTCGGAGTCGACAATTCTGCCCGGAGTCGGAGTCGGAGTCGGAGCTGGTTTTTGAAAGCCGGAGTCGGAGTCGGAGTCGGAGTCGCCGAAAATCCATCGACTCCGCAGCCCTGCATGCGACCTCCAAAACCAGCTTCCTGACTTGATATTTGCTTCGAGTTGATCTTGATTTGACGCAAGTTGACGTTTCAAAAAAAAACGTACAATTTTCGATACGTCTAGAATGATACATGGGAGATACAATGGTGAGAACCGTTTATCTTAAAAAATTGCCGAAGCTGTACGCCAGAAGCCGGAACTCGGCCTTATGCCTGAAACAGACTCTTTCCGCAGTCAGGAAATCGCATGCGAGAGCCTATTCAAATACATGGAAGCACGCTCGCATCAATCGCACGCACCTCCCGGATGCGATTGATGCGGGAAGAATTACAATGTATTTGAATAGGCTCTCGCATGCGATTTCCTGAACGTGGAAAGAGTCTGTTTCAGCCTTTAGGATCGTTGTTCTGACCTCGGAGGTCACCATTTAGCCGGTCGTAGAGGAGTTATTAAGTACAGATCGTTGCGTTCTTACTTCCCTGACGGATACCACATTGTTTTTATTTGCGAAGCGTTAGCTCAATGAAGCCTGAAACAGACTTTCCGCAGTCAGGAAATCGCATGCGAGAGCCTGTTCAAATAGGTAATTACATGGAAGCACGCTCGCATCAATCGCACGCACCTCCCGCATGCGATTGATGCGGGCAGAATTATAATTTGTTTGAATAGACTCTCGCATTCGATTTCCTGAATGCGGAAATAGTTTGTTTCAGCCTTTAGAGGTGAAATAAGTGGACAGCGAGAGCTGATTTCTTACGTGAAGCATCAGCGTACGTAGATAAGGTAGGAAAAATCTACTGGGCCGGTGAGAGTTACATTGCATCGTTTATTGCCATTAACAATAATTTCGTTTCTTATTTATTACAGCTATATTAACCTTGGCTGGTGAAATTACCATCGTGCATGCAGCTTGCAGTGGTGACGTTCTCCAGCAACCTAGTCACTGAGTGTTTCCAAAGCTGCACCACAGAGGACAGCACTGAGCATAGAAGCACCGTATAGATGACGGAGCCGACGCCGTCAAGCAGCTCCATCGTCCACACCACGCACCACCGACGTCTGGTAACGATGGGGTCAATATTTTTATACACGATGCAAATTTGATGCATGATAGCTATGCCAAGTTTTACGGCGCTGGGCGCTGGGTTTAACCTATATACGTAAAGAAAGACTGGAAAGAGTGGTCAAATATGTCCCCGACCATGGCGAAGGTTAGGTACCTATAGGATGAATATTGAATAAGAACTTAAGGCATTCGGGATGACTGAATAGTTCTCGTGCCGGTGAACCAGTGCAAGTGGTCAGATAGATTCAGTCAACGACAGCTCGGCTGTTCAATTGTCCGACCACACGTTGTTGACCGATTGGCCATCACCCGAGCCCGTTGAACCGGATAGGGTAAGGTCAGACAAGATCCTGTCAGGGCAAGCCCTGGAGAGTCGCAGTTCGGTAAAGCCTGATTCAGAGAGATCAGCAGGGATCTGACCTTCTGACACGCACAGGCAAACAAACAGCACCTGATAGGGTAGGTGCGGTCACTGAGGGTCCGTATAAAACTGGCGAAGATGACAGAATGGTAGCAAATATGAACGATCAACATACGTTGTTCCCGTTTTGTAGCAAAACTTGTCATAACGCGAATTATATGCTGTTCCGTGGTTACAAAATGTGCTATGTTCGCCTTGTTTTCACATCGCTTTTTGCCTTTCCTCATGCGTGCGATTTTAACTATAAAAATATTATCAAATACCTATATATCTTTATGATATAGATAGGTATATAATGGTGGGATATAACTGCTGAGTTATGACGAAACTGGTCCGTAAATTTGACCGAAATTAGATAAAAACAATACATACAGCTATGGTACTTCTAAGCGTTGCGTAAAAATGCTGAATCTATATACCAGTGAACATTCTTGTTCATGAATTTTGCGACCTTTACCTTAACCCTCGCTCATGTAGGGGGGGGGGGGTGCAACCCCCCCCTCCCTGAGGTTTTTCATTAGCTACACGCCGAACCGTTTCAGATAGCCTGCTCAAATTTTCATTACCCTTTGGGGCATCCTTTGCGCAACTTTTGGTATTTTTTTGTCAAGGTCATGTCAGGTCACGGAGTTATGACGTCATAAAGGGAACAACCTCCGGCCTGCTGAGGTTTTTCTTAGATACACGCCGAACCGTTTCAGATAGCCTGCTCAAATTTTCAGTACCCTTTGGGGCATCCTTTGCGCAAATTTTTTTTTTTTTTGTCAAGGTCATGTTAGGTCACGGAGTTATGACGTCATAAAGGGAACAACCTCCGGCCAGATTTACGCTAAATTGGAGATTGCTTTACATTGGTATAAATGTCGACTGACCTGACACACTGATGGATTGTTTTAGAATCACAACTGGCTGATTTGACATTCGCACAATGTCCGTTCCGTTGACATTTTGGAGGTTACTAAAGGTCAAGGTAAGGTCAGTGACCTCGGTTGACCTGTAATGACTTCTTGCACTTGTATGTCTTTTCGGGGTATTTTGATGCCCTGAATTCGAATTTGCTATCCATTTCAGGCATCGTCGGTTGTTTCTTGTAGTTCATTTTGGGTCAGGGTCAGGTCAGTGACGTCACACGCCTGACGTGACCCAATGCACAAATGACCTTGCAGACTTCGATGCTCCCAACGCATCATTTGTAGAGTTATGACATCGAAATACACACCAAACGATAGAGAATCGATCAAGGATCACGATAGTGAAGGTTTCAAGTCGATATCTCTTACCGTTTTGCCGCAATCGGCGCGGAACTATGAAAAAGTTAGATTTTTCCGAAAATGTGTCCTTTGACCGGTCATAAGTAGGTCAAATGTTGACCTAGGACCAAAAAATATACCACCAATCGCGAGATCTTGTTGAGAGCAATCCGCTGGTCTTTTCCGCTAAGCTCTACGACGCTCCGTTTTCAAATGCCAGGGGGGTCGCACCAACCTCCCCCCCCTGCATGGACGAAGGTGGCAAAACACCGTTTACGGGCGAGGGTTAAATGGATAATGTGGTTAACGATAAATATTTAAGAATCAGAAGTCGTTGCATCATCGAAATAGACATTTTGGCTCTTAGGTTAGGCATCAAAGGGAGGCCGAATCGATCCTCCAGCGCGGGTGATGTTTTCCAGACCGCCCACCGTTCATAACTTAGTTAAAGGTGATTTTTGATGTAAAAAACTTCCATACCAATCTTTTGGATTAAACATTCTTGAAAAGCATTCCGAAGTATTTCCCCATGCTTGGACTCGTACTGAAATTCCAAATTTGCTTCGAAACAATAATAACGTCAGACTAGCCGTTTTCACGACGGGCTATCCGGCGAGTGCACCTAATTTAACCAGATCTGCACCTAATCTCTTTTACAGCAAATACCTTCATTTTATGGATTTATTTCAGTGTTTTAGTCGATGATGCTCTCTGATAATACGACAAAGCAGGCATATAAGCAATTAGTGTAATCCTAGCTGATAGCTACTAAGAGACACACTGAACCTGATTTGACCAAATCTACACCTGATCTGCACCAGATGTGCACCAAATGTGTACCAGATGGCCGTCGTGAAAACGGCCACTACCCCGCTTTTCCGAATCTCGGTTTCCACATGTCACTCAATTTCTTTTTCCACGTATCTCACATATCATCGCACCACATTCAAAATTGTTCAGGAAATCCCAGCTTTCACTCAACGCTTTTGACGTTGGAGCTGGACACTGGGCAGCTGTGCCTCTCCCCCGTCCCACCTTCCCCGCACCGATCCCATGTTTATAACAGCACGACACAGACGGGCCCAGAAAAATCACATTTGTCCATGTAACGTAGAAACGGCAGCATAGAACAGAACACAGGCTGGCTATAGTTCTTTAATGTCTACTCGACGAGCTTCTATCTACCGAGTACCGACCGTTGTTAAAGACAATCATTAGATGATGGGCATAATTTAATTGCAAAACAAATAGAAATATCAACAAACATGTGG